TCTCCTTGTTAACAGGCAAACTTAAGAAGTTTTCTCTTGTATTCCTATTTTGTTAACAATTCAGGTACATGTTTGATGTGAGATAATGTTCATTCGGTTAAATTTAATGCCTTTACCATGGAATTCTATAGTGAAGAAGCTCAATGCTCTTAGCAGTCCTCGGTTTGGCATAAATCTCATGCCTTGTGCTTTCTCTATTTATGACTGGTTGGCTTTACGTGGCAGGTTGAAAACTTCTGATGCAAGGAATATTAACTCAGATACTCTTTGTCGTATTTGTCACCTTCAACCCTAAAACCTCTCTCACCTTTTCTTTGATTGTGACTTCTCCTTTAGAATCATTTATGAGCTTTTAGCTGGGACTAGCTCCATGCTGTTGAGGCCAAATATCCTTCAAATTGTTGATTTCTTAGAGGATTCCAGTGTCTCTGTTGCCGATTAAAAAAAAAACAAACAACTATATCTCTTATCACTTGTTGCACTATATATAAAATATTTGCGATCCATCGGGTTTGTCGACCATTCCGCAGAATCGAGATTTTGACCCGAGCGCATAATTCTGGGGAAGAAGATGATATAGACCTAATAGAAGGCGAGCAGGGAAAGGTGAATTGCGTGGAATCGGTTGCGGACATGGCTCACACGACTTCATCCTCCGTCCCCGCCGTCGATGATAATAGTTTCACCCTTATCAAATCATTGACAACCTAGAAATATTTTTGGCAGCATTTTGTACTGCATCCTGTTGGTTACGTAGTTGTGGTAGTTGCATCACGATGGTTTTTCTTCCCCATGCCAGAACTGATATCAGCAATGATTTGCAGTTGCAATGTCATCTTACTAGTAATCACAGGCATATTTCAGCAGTATCTAGTCTACCAGGTTAAAAAAGTGAGGTTGCAGGGTTATTACATGTTTAGCGAGAAGCTGAAACACATTGCTAGACTTCCATTTGCTGCTACTGCATCCGGAACAGCTTTGATGCTACTTATCTGTGTTTGGAAACCTTATCTACAAAGGCTATATGTGTCAACATTATTAAGGATTGTGATGTTTGCCGAAGTCGTTGGAGTTGGCTGCTTTATGAGTGTCTATATAGGTTGTATACATCAGTACAATTCGTTGAATGGTCAACATGATATTTTGAAGTATCTCTATTCTGCTTTGCAACCATCAAGTTCACTGGAAGAGCTCAGGTATCATGAAGGTTAGGGCTGTCAATATTTGACACGACACGAAAATCCGATCCGGACCCGACTCGAAAATTTCGGGTTTGGGTCAACCCGAACCGGGTCGGGTTCGGGTTCGAGTTTTCGACCCATTTGCCGTCCGCTGCCCGCCGGCCCGCCGCGCCCGCTGCTGCTCGCCGGCGCTGTGAAATCGCGAACCTGCGCCGCTGCCCGGGTCGTGTCGGGTTGACCCGAACCCGAAGCGGGTCGGGTTCGGGTCCAGGATTTCGACCCGTTTGCCTACCCGGGTCGGGTTAGGGTCGACCCGATTGAACCCGGGTCAGTTCCGGGTTCGACCCGAACCCGACTCGTGGCCCGAAATTGACACCCCTAATGAAGGTGGGCGTCTTTCTGATCAGCAAATGGCTCTGTTGCAGTATCAACGTGAAAACCTTCATTATTTGAGCGAAGAGGTACTTCATTTACAGGAGTTGTTAAGCAAATACCAACGAGCTGATGATGGGTGTACTCAGGCTACTCTTGCTCATCTATTGGTAGCTCGTGACCAACAACTTCGAACTTTATCAGCCCGAGATGAATCAAGTTCACTCTTGAAAGTTGCACTTGACATATATTAATATAAAAGAGAAAATACAAAAAAAGAAAAGAGCTGGTCCAAGAAAAAACTAACTCTTCCCAAAACAAAAAAGCATAAAGGGGAAAAGTATACAAAAAGGAGAGCATCCCGTACAAAGCAGCAAAACAAGGGACTTACAAAAAGAAACAAAAGGATCCTCTCAAGTGAGAAGGAGAGCTCCTTCATAGGTTTGTGGTGTGTACAACTAAGATTGAGAGGGAACCGCCCTAGAGTGGAGAGACACCTGGGAAAAGTAGAAACAACCACAATGGCTGAAAGGTGTCACATTGCTCTAGCAGAGGTCCATCAAACCTAGAGTACACACAACAAACCAATGAACGGAAACAACTCATTGGGCACTTGAGGGGACCAAGTTCCTGCATGTAAAGTCTGAGGTCTTCTTACTCTTCCGAGAGGAGTTGGTTAAGGGCCCAAGCTGGAGGAGCTCCCTGGTGAAGTAGGCACTGGATCCTCGAGACTGTTGCTTGCGCAGTTTAGGATCCTGCTAGAAGTCTCTTCCAACTGCTGCACCTTAGAGGCCGAGAATTGGAGGGGTGGAGGTGTGACCTGCTGGCATTTTGGTTGATCATTCATGACCTTGTAATTTCCCTTCTTCATTCGCATGATCAATTTCCAAGCTCCAAGGGAAGCCTCATTTTTATCCTCACTGCTTCGAACATCTAAGGGTTTGTTCGTCAGCATGGGAGGAGAGCAAGCCGAAGAGTGGTTCACGGAAGGTGGTTCGTTTGTAGGTGGTTATTGTGGCTTGGAAGGAGGCAGCTGCTGCTGGGGGGAGGTGGAGCCTCGGGTTGAAGCTTTGGACAGGCACATGCCATTGCTATGGCCAATAAAACCACACTCAAAGCAGAGATTTGAAAGGCCTTCATATTCCACCTTTTGGAAAATTTGCCATGGAGCCCATTTATCCACTCTCCAGGTTGAAGCCTCTTTGAAAGGTCAATTTTGACACAAATCTGAGCATAAGACAATCTGCCCCAAAAGCTTGTATGGGAATCCATCCATAGTGGCTCCCCCAACATGTTGGCAAGGCGAGTAATGTTGTTGGTATCCCAATACATAAGAGGGAGTTGGGGTAGCCGGATCCAGATTGGCGAATGTAGGCCTTGGAGGGAATTTGGGGAGGAATTGGGGGACCATCTATCCATCCCAATAATATTACCCGCCACGATCCATGGTCCACTCATAAGCACTGCATCTCTTGTTTCCCCACTTTGGAAAAGGCAAACAAAAGAGTTTGGAGCTGTAGTTATAACTTGGAATTCTCCAAAGTGATACCAACGACGCTTGAGTTCACTACGGAGAAAGGAAAAGGAAATTCTTCTTCCAATAATCTTAGCCACAAGGGCTTTCCCGAGCCTTGCAATGTTCTCATTGACTGCAGCAACCTCCGGCTCCATGGAAACACCATCCTTGGCAAGGAAGGTCTCTTCACTCATCTTGTCCAAGGATACATATTGAACTTTGCTCCAAGAAAAGGGGCCACTAGGCAGCCCACTAGGTGGCAAGGGAGGGGCTTGCGTGGGCTGTTGTTGCTGAATAAAAAAATTCCCTTGTTCTTGGGGGCTTTCCCACAAACAGCTTGTGGGCATAATTTTGTAACAACAGGAATAGAGGCTGAACTACCATGGGGATTTCCACACCTGCAGGTAGATGGTCCATCCACAAACAATTCCTTGCAATCACACATGGAAGCAACCCAACACGAGTTGGGAGGAGTCGAAGCACAAACCTGGACGGACTCCAAGTTCGCACGGCTGGGCTGAGTCGCGGGGGTGACTAGGGTATCGGGAGGCTGGTTCAGGTCGTGAGGAGGCTCCATGGCCGAGCTCGAGTCCTCCTCAGTAGAACTATCGGCCGAATACTGCATTACGTCGGACTGGGCACAGGCTGCAGGTGGCGGGTGGGAAACAACAACCTGAGGCTCGTTCACTTGGTCGGCTGCTTCCATGTTCGAATTGGCGTCGGATGGAGCATCTGACTCCTCCATATCATGGTGCGCATTGGACTGGCCTTCCGATTCCTCCATCTCTTCTTTCGAACAGGCTTCACTGTCCGACCCAGACGACCTGGTCGAAACCTCAGTTGAGTTCAAGTGGGAGGAACCATTAGACGGGGTCTTGACGCTACCATCCGGCAGATAAACATAGTTGTTCGGCCACCTCTTCGGACCCTTGGCATCGGTCATAAACGCCGCCTGGAACTTCTTGTGAGCTTTGCCAGAGACACCTCGCTTGCCTGACCGAGTGTCAATAGCCTTGTCCCTATCCTCACCCGTCTTGACGCTACCATCCGAGTAGGTGAAGCCCGTGGGCTGCACACCCACATCCCGATCCTTGGAGCTGGAAGGAGCAGGCTGGCCGAGCTTTGTGCTCGGTTTGCTGTCCTCCTTAACCCGACGGAGAAGAGCTTGGGTCTGAGCTTGCAGCTGCTCCCTAGAGGAGCAAGAAGCATCATTCCGTCCATTCCCAGCAGAACGGGAGGAGTTTGCTGCCCTAGAACCCGCCAAATGCTCGGCACCACCGGCCAGCTCGTCGGAGGAAATGACCTTCCAAGGGTTCCCAAGCTGCTCCACCTTACCAGCCATACTTCTCTCACTAAAACGCTCTTGAGAGAGAAAGAAATGACAACAGATGAAAATATATTTAGAGTTTGTACAAGTAGAAACATATAGAGCAAAATTAGACATCTGAATTCCCTCTAATACTGTTTTTAATCACCTTATTATAGACTTTATTATAGACTTTCTTACTGCTTCTTAAAAGTAACTTTTTAATAAAAAAAATTTTTTTTTTTAACTAAAAAACTACTTTAAAAAGCAATAAAATAACTACAAATATTATATAACTTAATCTATAACTATTTAATTTAAAATATAACTTTAATAAAATTCCAATATTTGTAATAATTAATTATAAAAAAAATAATCTTACATTAATTATTCACTAGATAACTTATTTTTAAAATAAATTAAATTGATATTCTTTGTTAATTACCACATATTTTTTGATCATTTAACAAATTCATATTACAGCCACACAACAGCTTTTTCCAAAGAACATTACTTTAAAAATTAAATATAAAATAACTTTATCAAATAATTATCCCCCCAACTTCACAACATAGCACAACATAACATAAAAATAAGACAAAGGAGAAACAAACAACGGATATCATATAGGGAAGACCATTCTAACTTCATTAAACTTCTGTAAATAATTACAATCTCACGATGGGAAGTGATAAACCTCTTCTTCCTACCATCTCATATAAATTGAACTCTGAATGAGCTCATCATATCATGTAAAAAATGTCATGTTTAACAAGGCATCATACATTAATTTAGATAATTTAAGCTTCATTTGGAACAGCTTTCTATTGTTTCTTAAAACAATTTTCACTAAAAAACTATTTTAGAAAACTGTAAGAAAGTTGTCCCAAACGAAGCCTATAAAACCTCATTTATTTTATAAGACCTTGGAGCTGGATTCCTGCAACTTTGCAGAATTTGCTGGAATCTGGAAAATTTTGAAGGCCCAATGTGGGCAGCTGAAGAAACGCAGGATATTTTGGCAACCTCCATTGCCAGTGTTCTGTGAACTTATGTGGGTAATATACGTTTTGCCTTCATAAATATAATATAGCTGCTGCCATAACAATACGGCTATACCAATATCTGCAGATAGACAAGCAAAGGCTAGGTACAATAACACAAGGCCTCTTACTGATAACAATAAAACTGAGCTTGCTATGCCGGTGATGATCTGCTTTACCACTCTTGAAACAGCTGAAGTATCAGTTGATGCTGAACTTCCAAGCTGAGGAGGCCAAATTTGAAATGCAGTATAGGAGCTCATCGTAACAACATAGAAGCAACTGATAACTACAGAAATGAGGAAGATGATGAAATGCCGATGATTTGCTGCACCAACACAATTGCCTATCTGCAGAAAAGTAAGCAATATAAGCATAGTTTTTGAGGAAGATTAGAAAGTTCTGATTTTGCTAGTTTTTATAAACAAGTTAAAAAAAAAACTAAGATTTTCTATTTGAATACTTCCCCACGCTTAAATAGCCAGAATTTATTTTGGAAATTAACTAGGAGGAGATGTACAGTTACCAAGTTAGATGTTTTGGTTTTTCATGTTTTAGGAATATAGAGCAAATTAGTTGATCACCAACACCATGTATTTGTCATCACAAAACGGGTAAATCATGTAATAGTGTTCATAATGACAACCTCTTCTCTTAGGTTAGCTAAGATGGCAGTATAGATGTTACACTTGATATATTTTCTATAATAATTCCTTCGTTTAAACTGACCAGCATACGTACCTCACTTTGACTATATGATAAGCCAGGAGGGCCTACCTTGTGGAGCCAAAGAGAGTTAATATTCACTATGTAAAGAGGAGAAATCAAGAGAGAAATAATTAGAAATTTTTATTTAGGAAAAGATGGCTGAGTTGAATTTAGATTGGGGAGGAAATTAAGAAATATTTATTTAAGGAAAGAGAACTTATTTGAATTCAGATTTGGGAAGAAATTAGGAAAGTTTTATTTAGGAGAATGATAGATTTGAATTCAAATTTGGGAGTGAATTAGGAAAGTTTTATTAAGAGAAAAATGGCTGATTTGAATTAAGATTTGGAAGGAAAATATAATAGTTTATTTAAAGGTGAATATGTTGTTTTATTTTCATTATGTGATTTATGTTTGCTGTAGTTTTCTTAGGAGTTGTTTTTAGCGGCGTATAGGATTTGTTAGAAAGGTAATCTACCTTTCAAATAGTATATCACTTGTCTTTCTTTCGTATTAAAGAGATTAAAAAAAAATAGCCCCTATCTTCGTATTCATTTCTACTTGTTTCTTTCACTATTTTTGCTTCCAAGACGTATCACTATACTATACCATTGGATAGAAATTCAGAATTTAATTACTTTTTAAGAAGATATTGACAGCATAATGGCGAGAGCAAGGGAAAAAAATAAAAATAAAAACTATCAAATGAACACTCTTAGAACCTTAAATCAAGAACCAGAGTAGATAAAGTAGAGATCTATGTCCAGAAAGAAATGAGTAAAGGAGACCTCAATAATGGATCACTGCTTTAGAATAGAAAGGACTGCTAAAAACATCTGCTAATGAAAAGCACACAAATAAGTGACAGATGTACACAACTGAGAATCTAAAGGTTTTTTTTATAGTTCTAATCCAAAAAGTATTAACAAGACAACAATTGCAAGCTTAAGAACTGAAATATTTATTACACTATGATGAACTAATATGAACATGGAAATATAAACATTATACAACATGGATGAGACGTCTATTATTAAAAATATAGAATATGTATATATAAAAAGCATTTGACATAGCACTATCCATATCTTAAAAATCAAAAGTACTAAAATTGCAAGGATGCGAAAAATCATGATATTTAGAATGAAAAAACTGAATAAAAGATTCATTTTTCTTTCAAAAACCATTAGAGTTAGCAAAGAAAGGAAAGAAAATGAGGGAAATATTAAGAACAAAAAAGAAATAATAAGTCATTAAATTCTAATATTAATTTTAAAAAGATGAATGTGTGACCAATAGTATTTTAGAGGGTGACATATAAAAAGTGAGGAAAATTTGTCTAGTATCAAATATATATTAAGTTCTAACATTTAAGACACACATAATCATAATTTTTTTTTCATTTTTAAAATTGTCCAAGTGGATGGCATGTCAGTACACATGTGTCGCATCATGTTGCACACATATCCATGTCATGCAAATGTCCGACAAATACATTATAATGGATTGATGGGGACATCAGATCATGGAAGGTTTATCAAAGGCGTAGTCGCTGATCTACGGCCACGATTGAGTCTTTGTACTTTTGAGTTATTTATTTTCTTATTTATGTTATCGTTGTATTTGTTTTATTTAATTTCCCGTTGTACCCTTTTAGAAAGGGATGTCGTATGTAAACCCCGAGGGCATTGTCGTCTTTTTTATTTTCTTGAATCTTATGTACGAGGCTATTTATAGCCCATTGTCTTTCTTTCAAAGTAATGAATGATTGAATGAAAAATTTTCCTACATTTTGATTTCTTGCAAGAGCGAGAGAGGTTTGGAGAGAGATCTCTTTGAGAGGGAAGCGCACTACCCACCAACCTTGGAGACGGTCGGGTTCGTGGTTCTTCGTCGTTATCTTATCACCCTCCTCCCCTCTTCCCCTAGCAGCCGACCACAAATCTCCCCGAACCCCTCACCTAAGCCGCCGGCCACTACCCCCCCACCATCGCTCGCTTCCGTGACTCCAATCCCCTTCATCACCCATGGCCACCCCCTCACCGCCGGCCACCCTTGACTCCTCCCCACCTACACAGGCCCACATCCTTCCAAAATAGGTTTCATAATTTTGGTAACTTCCTTCATGCTCAAATTCAAATTAATTTGAATTTGAACAAGTTGCCTAAATTACAAATTCCTATTTTAGGAAACTTCCTAATTTGATTCCTATTTAAATTTTAAATTAAGAGAGGATTAATTACTTCTTTCCAAACTTATTTTATTATTTTAACTAGGCATTAAATGCCTCATTAATTCTCCCCCTCCCACTATGGCCGCCGGCCCCCCTTGGAGCTTCAAAGGATCGACGTTGATACTTGACTACGCATCATCCTCTCAAGCCGATGAATGGCCAATCCCGACACTGATTACGGACTTGCTTATGATGAAAACGGATTTGTGCACATTCTCCACTCAGCTTTATTCGATGTCAACCCGAGAATCGACCATACGGTGGAAGACTACATAGAGCGTATCTTGGACACTTTGGTTAAAGCTATTGAAGAACAATTGGAGATCGTCGAGTGGAAGATAACCGCCAATCCTTGATGAAGGTTTTCTACGTTTCCCCTTTTCTCTTATTTCTTAAGTCTAACTTTCTCTTGTGGTTTGATTGTAGTCACGGAGGATGACCGTCGCCTGTTTCTGCTAAGCTTAGTAAATGTAGGACTTTGAGTGTACTCATGTGTTTATTAATCTCATTATTAGACTAGGGATTTTGTTGAGGCTACTATCTCAGCATGATGTTATTTTCTATTTTATTTTGAAGTTTCAAATCTCTTGATATGTGACTTAGCCTAAGCGGGCGTAACCGCTCTTACGATTTGATTCGTTGTTTTAAACTGCTAGTAGCTTTTTTTGTTATTTCTCTAATCAAAAGTTGTGCAAAATCTTAACAAAATCATTGCAACCATCGTAGTCCAACATCATGGATTGTCGGTACATCATAATTATTGCTTAGAAACAGAGTATCAGAGGTGTCCATGACCCTTAAAGAGTTTAATAAAAATGTCCACAGTTACAATTTTATAATTTTAGTTTAGTTTAGATGTGGCATAGATTTTACATGAAATTCCAAGTGTTAGGTGCATTCTCCCAAAAAAAAGAGATACTTTCCATCAAAACATTGGAACAATACTAGTGACTGATTAATTCGAACATGAATAGCGTATCAAAATAAATCAAAATTCAAAAGAATCATAGTAACAATATAAATCTCGTAAAATACTGATAGGTTCTTACAAAGGGACAATGATGATCCATGTCCAATACACACATTCTACAAGACCTACAATGATGCGCTCTTGGTGGCTTGGGTTTCTCACAGTACGTGCAGAATGTGTAATTTTCAAGATCATTCTTTCCCACCACTGGATAGCTGCCCCATGTTACAGTTACTGGTGCACCAGCAGACTTAAATGCAGCCATGCAGAAGCTAGAGATTGTAATGAAAGATAAAATGGCTGTTATAGTTGAGTGAAAAACTCCACAGAAATAGCTGATGGAGAAGATAGTTGGGTATACAGCCCAAACACCTGCACCTACCATCACAATACAGCAGTCAAAGGCAGAAATTTTGTGGTTAGAGGCGACCGGAGTACGAAGAGGCCGCAGGTAACGAGTGATAACAAAAAACTGAAAGAAAAAAAACAGCGAGAAATGTTTAATTTGGAGGTAGGAAGTAGTCAAAAGCAGGAAAAACAACTAAGAAACTTACATATGACAAAGGACATGAATAGAAGAAGAAGAACAACAAAAAATTGGTCTCGAAAACATCGCCATCGGGAAAAGCATACACTATCGGGTTTCCTTGCTCGGATTTGGGTCGTTATGGCTCCACACCATCCACATTTGAAAACAGGTGAATAAGTTGCAAGAAGGAGGCGTAATCCACAGCCCCAGCATATTCTCTCATGGTCTTCTAAGATTGATGTAACATGGTGATCATCCTGAATTTTTGCCGAATGTGAAATGCAAAAGCAATGCAACTAGTGATGAAATAACCACATGAAAAACATAATTTTGGAATACAATAATAATCGGACAAGAAGATGTATACATATAAGAAAGAAGAAAGACAATATGGTGAAAAAATACAACCACTGAATTTATTGAATGGAATCAGCAATTACACATTTAAACACACAATGGCCTCTATTTCATGAAGTTTGTCCTCCCAGTCATCCACTGATCACAAAAAGTCATAAGATGCAATTAATTGATTCAAAGTCCAATAATTTTAGAAATATAAAATTAATAGAGTAAAGAGCAATGGCTTAAAGTGAAGAAAAACCTAAAATCATAATATGAAAAAGCCATTAGAATTAGCTGTTGTGTACTAATGCATCTAAAGTCTCAAAATAAAATCCGTTGAAGGAAATAAACATTGATCAACTTTGAGATTCACTAGTGTTCTTTGGCGAAAAGACAAAAAAAACCCTTCAAATATGCCAAAATAATGACAGAACCGGATTTCATGCTTCATATAACAATTTCATGAAATCATCTTATTCGGAAGCATAGAGTTTCCAAAGTTTTAAAATTTCTCAATTATGATTTTCAAAGCCAGCTCTGAATTTAGGATCTAATGGATGTGCACTAAAACTGAAAGGATCAAAGTAAATCTTACTATGATATTGCAACTTTGATAATAGGTGCAATTATCAATAACAATGCATCCGGGAAGAACACATATTTTCTCTGCAATGCAAAAGAACAATGTGTGTACCTCATATTATATTAAAAAACCAGATGATTTAACTAGTGGTGACTGAGATAAAATAGGCCAATGGTAGTTCTATGGCTGGTGGAAAAAATTCAACAGAATGTGCATAAATGAAATATCACACAAACCTCCAAAAGTTTAATGGCATGTAGAAGCTTAAAGATCCGCGTGCAGATAATCCAATTAGCTACTTTCTAATGTCTTTATTTTCCAACCAAGAAAACTCAGATTCGCTAATAAGTGGTTGTGTCAAAGTTTCTCCTAACTCAGTCATTGGAGTAAAGGAAAGGCAAGCCTACTATTAATGTGCCCAAATCATAAAACAGCCGAAAGTTTCCCGAAGCCTACATGCATATATTAAAAAATGTCAACATAACTAGCACTTGCTTGCCAAGAAGAAAACATAAAGCCTACTCTAAATATATAGAGCAATAAGTTCCATTTTGCAATCCTTAACCACAAGCTAAGCTATTATAATAAGTGAGTAGAAGAATGATAACAAGTCTAGAATTCTTCTGTACATGAGGTCAACGGAATCAATTTATGAAAGTTCAGCTATGCCAATAAATTTTCCGGCGAGCGGTAAAGAGGTACAAAGATTCAAGAAAATATTAAAAGCAATGTAAAAATAAAGCACATTTTAAATTCAATATCATTTTATTGTGTTTGATTGAAACTAATAAAAATTAATATAAAAATTAAAAAGAAAAAAAAAACAAGGGCACTAGAGGGATGGTATTGTGACTAAAGCAACAGGTTTTGCGAGCGGTGTTGCGACAAATTCATCATCAATGTCGAGGTGTTGCAAGAGGTGTGAATCATCGTTGCGAGGTTACGGTGCAGAAGGTGTACACAATGTTGTGGTGAGGTCCCATGCAAGTAAGGCCTCGTGCAAAGACTTGAGTGAGTGATGAGTTTCGCAAAGGTTGCATGGAAGTCTCGAGTGTGATGAGCGTTGTAGATGTTGTGTGGTGAGGGCAAACGGGCCAGATGCATAATAGGAATGTCATGTGGTTCTTGTTGCGAATTGTATTTAGAATTCATTTGAATCTAAAAAATTCCAAATACACCAAAAATGAACTAATAAAGAATTTCAAAATCAACAACAAATTAATTTGACTTGGTTTTTCTTCTTACTAACTACTAGAAATTTAAAAACCCTTGCATTTGGTTTTTACACTACACTCATACTTCCAACCAAACAACCGCTAAAAGGAATAGAAAGAATAATAGCAAACAATGGAATATTAAAAGTACGTCAAACAATGAAACAAGCAAGCTAAGAACAATTGGTAGGAAGGGTGCAAATGGGGAATGATAACTTACTGATCTAAGCACTGAAAACCTGCATTACTGTCGAGAGAGCAGTAAAGGTAAAGAAAGGTAAAGATAGAGGGAAGCTGCAGTAATTCTATTATTCATTGAGTATACTTCAATTCATCATTGAGTGTTTGTACAAGTATATGTATAGTGTAGTGAGGGAGTATTTATGTCCAACGGTCCAGATTTTGACACCGGAAGGTTAAGATGTTTTTGTAACAACTTTGCTTCTTTTTCCCTGTTCCATATGTTCTGATGTCATTGTGCCATGTGCGGTATATTAACAGACCGCCTTAAACTGGTGCATCCAAGGATGTAACTAGTTTGGTAGCAAGGTATTGGAATTGGGAAATAGAGAGTGACTTTGTGAGGAGGTCTGCAACTTGGTCTTTGGTATATATGTGGTGATCTATGATGGCTTGATCCCTGATGCATTCCTGAATGAAGTGACAATCAACTTCAATATGTTTTGAGCGGTCATGAAACACGGGGTTGTTGGCTAAAGTAATGGAGGATGTGTTGTCACAGAACAGTTGAGTTGAAGAGGGAAGTGGTCAGTTGAATTCTTGAAGAAGACATCGAAGCCAGATGATTTCAGCTGCTTCCAAGGCTAAAACATGGTATTCAGCTTCGGTCGAGGGCAAGCGACGGCATTTTGTTTCTTGACGCTCCAGTAGCCAATGATTGATTTTCGGTCAGTTGAGTCGCTCGCCAAGTCAAAGTTGGCGTAGGATCTAAAGTTGAGTGAATCCCGAAGCAAAGGAAGACCTGTATGAAGTGTTCCTTGGATGTACCTCAGTAATCGCTTGAGAGCTTCAAAATGGGTGTTGAGAGGATTTTGCATGTGTTGGCATACTTTGTTGATAGCAAAGGAGATATCAGGTCTGGAAGGGTGAGGTATTGTAACGAGCCTGCCAATTAACGGTAAAGGGTGGGATTTGAAAATGCATAAGAGGTGAAAGATGTGTGAGGCGGTTTGATCTGAGAGGGTGTCGAAACAGGCTTGCAATTGAGCATGTCGGCTCGGGAGATTATCATTTGAGCAAACTTAGTTTGGTTGAGATGCAAGCCATATGTTAGGGGTGTCAATTGGAGTCAATGGGTCGGGTTCGGGTCGAACCCAACTTGACTCGGGTGTAAACGGGTCAACTCGAACCTGACCCGTTTAAATAAACGGATCAGAAAATTAAACCCAAACCCAACCCGCACGGGTTCTCGGGTAGACCCGACCCAACCCGCAGACCCGTTTAATTCAAAAAATGGGCGGCGTCATGCTAGGCGGCACCGCCGGCACGGCGGTAGTGGAGTCGACGACGCGATTTCCACCTGCTGCCTGCAGGCCGTGGAGGTCGCGTTAGAAACGGACAGAGCGACTGGCGGAGGCCGGAGTGGCGCGGACGGATGAGATGCATCGATGGTACCTGGTAGAGTGGTACGGAAGCCGCGGACTTGCGGAGGCAGAAACATGATTGGCCCGGAGCCCCGAACTGGCGATGCGGCGGACGTGACTCAGCGACTGTCGAGTGTCTCGACTCTCGAGCTGAGGCGATGGGCTGACCGCGATGGACATAATGACATATGTGATGGTTTGACCGTGATGGACAGACGCGACGGACGCGGGAAAGTCACGCATGAATGGTAAATTCGGGTTTACAAAATATAAATGGGTCAATTCGGGTTGACCCGCGAGTTTCCGGGTCAACTCGAACCCAACCCGTTTTTTAAATGGGTCGGAAATCTGAATCCGGACCCGACCATTTCACAAACGGGTTGACCCAAACCCGAATTTTTCCGGGTCAGGTTTCAGGTCATGTCAAAAATTGACACCCCTACCATATGTAGTGTGCACTACCTAAATGCCAAGGAATTGGGAGAGAGAACCAAGGTCACGCATGGTAAATTTGTTGCTGAGGTTGTCCAGAAGTTGACTGATTGCAACAATGCAATTTCCGATAAGTAGTATATCGTCCACTTAAATTAGGAAGTACATTAAGGTACCGTTCTTGTTCTAAATGAGCAGAGACGGGGTAGGTGCAAGTGGAGTGATTGTTGGAGGGAGGTCGGCCTCGATAGGATGAATTTCGACCATGACCTTGACCACGGGAGGTCGTAAGGGCCATGGTAGGCTCTAAGAGGTGTAGGTTCTGGAGTTCTCTAGTCGCCTCTTGAGCGAGGTTCTGCTCCTCACTGCAGAGAAAAGTGTGCATGTCATATAGGCTGAGCGGTTAAAGATTGGTACGGATAGCAGTTTTGAATGCTTGGTATTGGGCAGGGGAGGCCATTTAAGCTATAGAGGATGATATCCTCAAGGTCAAGGTGAGTGCCAATGGCGGCAATAGCATCGACTTTGGATTTGACGGCGAGTAGATATTGTGTCATGGTTTGGTCTTTCAGCGAAAGGAGGTGGAGCTCATTCTTGAGCTAGATAACCCAAGAGCGTGTGGAGGAATGGAGACAGCGAGCTATAGTATCCCAAATTTTTGCACAGTGGTTAAGGGAGAGAACGTAGGGGAGAAGGCCTGGAGATATGCTGGAATATAGTGCGGCGACAAGGTTTTGATCGAGGAGAAGCCAAGTGTGGTGTTGGGAGGAGTGGTGGAAGTTGGAGAGGGGCAAGAGCAGGTGCCGTCAACAAAGCCAAAATGAATCAAGCTCAAGCTGAGCTCAAACATCAAACAAGTATGAATCTAAATGAGTCAAGCATGAAGACTATCCCAAAAGCTCGAATCAAGCTTGAGAAGTCTTCTAGTAAATGAGCACAAGCTTGATTAACCTTGAGCTTGACTCAACTCAGCTCATTTACAATCTTAATTATCTTGGTACGACAAAAGCACAGTTGCACAAAAATTTTATGACAAATCAATAGATAAGCATGAGATACCCTTCTCTGAAACCTTCAAACGGACAATTTCTAATGTTAGTTAAATGTAGCCTTTTGAGGAACATTTAAATGTGTAATTTCTAGTACTAGTTAAATCTTCATTGTTCATTATATCTCTTATGTAGTCCTCTCTTTTTGTTTGGCTCATTTATTTTATAAACTTGTGTGACTTCTCTATAGTAAATTGAATCCTCCACTTTTTCTTCTGAACATCTTATTTTAGCCAAGTCAAGTAAATATTGATGACTTTTTGTGGAATTTGGCCTTTTTATTATAACTTTGTGTGTTCATTGTCCTCGCTCTAAATAAGTGATTCTACATAAAAGTAAGGTATTTGTTTTAATAGTTGGTTCTTTAGAGGAAAAGCTAAATACATTTTAGAGGGAGATTCTCTCCAACACAAATATGTCTAGAATTCAACAGTAAAATAACTTGGATTCTATTTTCATTGCTCATGCCGTAGAAAAACAAGAATTTCCAAGTACAAAATCTGATTATAAGTTGACAATTCAAAATTCAAATAATTTTAACAAGGGTGAATTAAAATTGGAGCCTAAGGTCAAGGAGGCTCAAAATAGGTTCACATTCTTGGAATTCTAACGCATAGGCTCCTAGTTGCTATAATCCCTTTCCCTCGACAGCTAGACTCTATCATCTAAGGATCCATTAATTAGGAATAAATTGTCAAAAATACCCTCATGCTAAATATAACCTTGAAAGACATTCACCCAATATATTTGAAACAATTGTGATCAAAGAATAATTCTTTTAAAATAACTTGGATTTCTATTGTCATTACTCAAACTATTGAATAGATGCAATTTCCTAGTACAAAATCTGGTTATAAGTCGACAATTCAAAATTCATATAATTTTAGAGGGGTAAATTACAATTGAATCCCTAATTTCAAAGAGGGACTCAAAATAGGATCACATTCTTGGAATTCTAATGCATAGGTTCCTTGTTGCTATGATCCCTTTCTTGTTGGGGAAGTGAAACATGCAATGAAACAAATAAGAAACAGAAAATGCGGTGAAAAGAAATAACATCAAGATTTAACGTGGAAAAACTCAAAATTGAGAAATACCAACGAGCCGCCCGACACCAAGAAATTCACTATGAAAATTTGGGAGAAATAGTACAGATTTCTCTTCTCGATTGCTCTCTTTTTTTGTCTCTCTACACCCTTGCACCATTATCATGAACAAACAAAGAGAGAACCTCACATAAACTACCAAGGGACACTACTCTGATAAAAAATCATAAAAAAATATCAGCTAGTCTCGTAGAGTAGTGACACTAGTTTGGAGCGCTCAACTCTTTATCTCAAGTCTGTCGGACAAAGCCATAGGATAGGGGTCTAGAGTGTTGTAGCGTCACAACGCTCCTCTCTCTGGCTTTCTACAAGCAAACTATGCAACAGAGAGGCGCTCGAGTACACAGATTTGTAGCACTGTACGTTTGTACATAAAAATTTTCGATTGCGAAGCACCTACGCACAAGCAGGGGAATTGCAACCCTCTAATGAGCTCAATAAACTGAATTGATGTATGAGGCAATAGTACGACACGATTGATCAACACAATCATATTACACAAAACTAACATTTCCCAAGACTTTGTCATCTACCAATCCATTAATTACGAATGAGTTGTCAAAAATACCCTCATGCTAAATATAACCATGACAAACATTCACACTATATTTGAAACAATTGCAATCAAAGAATAATTTTTTTTTAAACTCTCTACTCAAAGTCTAGTCGAGCAAGTTCATGTCATTATGCATTGCGAGTCAAATGTTTATTCTCAATTCTCAAAAAACTATAGTCAAAAAGGCTTTCCATAGTACAAAAATAAGGCAATAGTCAGCAGTGATTAAACACCCTAAAATCAACAATGTTAGGCAATAGGGATCTAAGCTGGGCTCCAAATAATGAGGACCATAATGAAACCTTGAGAGTGCTCTAGGTAGCCATCTAAAGAAGTTCAAAAAGTGAAAACATGGACCTATGTGAAATTCATCCTTGACTTCAGGGAACCCTATATAATTTATCATTTAAATAAAGAAGAACTTCAAGCCACTTCTTCGTAGAATCTCAACGAATGAGCGTCACAGTACAAAAGAGACAAATGTAACAGTTCACACAGCAAAAAAGGATTTAAAAAGGTAAAAGGAAGTAGATTCAGAGACAAAAAAGAATGAAAATTTAAACCTATCACCTAAATACGAAAATAGAAATCTGTGGAATATAAACGGATCAAGCTCAAGCTGGTTATTAAGAGAAAACAAGGACATGACATGAGCTGATTATAATAGCAATAGGGCACCTATAGTTATAACAAGTAAGGATGCAGCTTTTAAGCAAAGTATTTATAGAAGCAACATAACTATCTAACAGAATCAACATGTTTAGGAGCCAGAGTAGCAATAAACCCTAATAAGATGCAATAAGATTGGGACTTGAGCACATCGAACGAAACCAAAGGGTGAGAACAACCAAAAACAGATTGCTAAAGAGGAAAAAAAGATTGTGTAGAGCGAAAAAAAAAAAAAGGTACCTTAACCCCTTCTTCATCAATCTTGTTCATATCCTCAACACAACGCTGAAGAAGAAGAGGAAGCAAACTCCGCAATTAGCCAACAGATGGAGGCTAGACACTTATTTCTGCAGTCTTTGTACAGCTTCAAGTAAAAGGAGCCGGGAGAGAAGCAGAAGAGAATCGTCGCTTAAAGGGGGGCAAAAGGAGGCCGAGGCTAAGAATCGAAATCGGGAAGTTGCGCTGGCACAGAACAAAAACAAGAGTAGGCCTCACTCTGCTGACTCCGCCTTATTGTTCGGAGACCATTTAAAAGTTTTTTTTTTTTTAATTAGGCACAAATGCCTATTTACATTAATATAATTAAAAAATTACAACAAATATAAGAAAAACATACAAATCCTATATACAAAGTCGAAATTAAAATGCTTAATAAAAGCAAAGAAAACTAACAATCAGCTTAGGATAAATCCAAACAACACATAGTGAACAAGTACAAGAAGAGGAATAAACATATATCCAAGCTCCAATATAGTCATCTAGAATGGCCACATAAGACCACAACAAATAGGTATCCAAGCTCCAACATAGCCATCGAGAATGGACACAAAAGACAGCAACAAACAGATCACACCATTAAGCCAATTCCCTCAAACTAGTAATAGAGATCCAAGCTCCAATATAGCCATTGAGAATGGCCAGGGGCAAGAACCACGTGGCCGCCAGGGGGGCAATTGCCCCCCTAAAAAAAATAAAAATATATTTTTTCTATGGATATTTAGGTAATTTGTTCCCCTCCATCCTTTTTTTACTCTTTATTATAGGAGTTTTTAGGTAATTGCCCCCTCTAAGAAAATTAAAATACTATTATCTTTATGTGGTTGCCTCTTAACATAATTAAACACATTGTGTAGAGATGTTATTTATAAATCCCCCCCCCCTCCCCTAAGAATCAAGGCCGGTTCCGCCCCTGAGAATGGCCATATAAGGAAGTATAAATAGGTATCCAAGCTCCAATATAGTCACAATGAATGGCCAGATCAAACAACAACAAACATGTATCCAAGCTCTAATATAGCCACCGAGAATAAACACAAAAGAATGCAACAAATAGACCATGTCATTCAACCAATTTCCTCAAACCAATAATCTAAAACAAACATGCACAAGCTTCAATATAGCCACTAACAATTGACCAATTCCTCGAAGAGGAACATGAAACCTAAGCAAAGTCAGATAGGATGCCGGCAATTAGATATCCAAGCATGTCATCTTCCAAATTCCCTTAAACCGGCATTTAAAGAACAAAAACGGATTTTAATGTTCCGATTTCTATAGAAAACGGAAACCAATTTAAATGTGTTACTTGAAACTCCGTATTCATTCCTTTCTAAATTAATTTGATAACGTACTTCCACTTCTTAATTTGGTATAAAATTTGCTCTTTTTATAATTTGGTCTATTATCAAATATATTAATAAGTAGCAAAATGTGAATTTAATTGATAAATCTATCAAATAAAAAAAAACATTTTAACAAATATAAATAAGTAGCTTATACTCATGAATAAAAACCATCTAATACATAAAAGAACACGACTTCATATAATCACGCATTAATCAAAATTATAACCAAGTCTTAAATGAACACACATTTATCATTTCTTAACAAATTTATTCATAACCTTAGAATGATATTATTAATGATTACAAATGGATAAAATACCAAGCTATTCATGGTTGTTTATTTATCAGTTGAATTTTTATAAAATTATTGAAATTTTTTTTTGTTTGTTTTTTTGGAATATTTAAGTGAACTAAGACAAATTCATGCACACATCATATATGCAAGATTCGAACCTAAAACCTTGTGGTTGGTAGTCAAAATTTTCAACCAACAAATGAAGATGAGCTGCGTGACCTACTCATTGAGTAGCTTGTTGATCCAGAGAGTGGACCATGAGCTAGAAGATTGCAGCCAAGTGTGAAGGCAACATTGCAAAGTCGAGGGAATACAAAACAGGCCTCAAGAACTCAGTGAAGTTAAGAGAAACACTTCACCTCTGGTGAAGAAAACTGTCTCTTCAATCTCAGCTCTCATACTAGTTGATTTATTTGACATATTTATGTTTTAGAAGAAATTGAAAATAAATTTTTGAAAATATAATGATTTGAACCACCGGACTTCACTTACAAGTTTTCATAATGTTTGTTTAGGGCTTCTTTTGAGATAATTTTTTTATTGCTTTTTAAAATAATTTTTTAGTAAAAAAAAAATTGAAATGAAAATTTTTATATTGAAGAGTTGTTTCATAAAGCAGTAAGAAAGTTACCCATAATAAAACTTAAGAGATAAGTTTCTTGATTGCTGATTGATTAATGTTGATATGCACTTTGCTAATGAAGTTCAACTTTTGGGCAATGAGCAAAAGACTTTGGTTTGAAAAGTTGCTTGCTAATGATTTGTTAGTATCCTTCAATATTAGATTTATACGATTACAAAAAAAAAAAAAAAGATTCATACAATTGCACATGACATGCTTTCTCTTGTTCATAAAATTTACAAGAATTGAAGATAAATTTATAATGTAATACAATTTTTAAATACATAGATAAAATACTATAAATTACCAACATGTAAGACTATAACCATTAATTATCAATAGCCAATCGCATCATAATCTCTTTCATTTCTTTTTTAGTATAAAAAATTTTGAACTAAAAATTGCTTCAAAATGCAATAAGAAAACTATCCCAAACAATACCTTTATTGCTATTTCTTTTTTTTTTTCAAATAGAGGAACTCTTATATCATGATAAAATGAGGATTGCATATTGTTCAATTAGCTCTAATGTTATCTTCTAAGTTCTCCACCTTCACTACATTGAAAGAGATATATATATATATATATTATTGATGTATAATTTAACCCCCTTAAAAAAATTCTCTTAAAAAATCATGTCTCTTTTTTTTTTCAAATTATGAATACATAAAATGAATCATATGACATTTCATCTACACAGCTCACCTTGCTCTATTGATTGAAAGCTTTGACTACCAACAAAGAGGTCTTGAGTTCAAGGCTTATGTATACGATGTATGTGAATCTGCTCCATTCATTATTAATACAATCAAAGCTTTTTAATCTTCTTGTATTTAATTATATTACTCCTTTTAAATACATTCCAAAATGACCAAATTATACACATCCACCTCACATTAGCATAAATCATACTAATAACAAAAAATTATATTAGAAGTTTACAATGAAAGAGTAAGAACAAAATAATGACCAACAGGCACTCAAAATTCTTCAGTACACTTCTCATAAACAATATAGTATGAATTTTAAATGCAACACTCCTGCTTGTCTAAATGGGATAGATAGATAATCATTCAACAAGAATTTGATTCTGTTTGCTATTTCTCCTATTTTAGCCTAACAAAAACTCTTTCATTCAAGCTACCATCCTGTTTCAATGCTAAGTGACTATCTCATATGTCAGACAGAAGAAAGTTCCCTGTAAGTGATACCTACAAAAGTTGAGTTATAAATATGTCAGTCTATTATCTTTTATTAAAAAAGGGTACTATTCGATTTTGTTAAATAGCTACCTTTTCTCCCAATTTGAATGGAGGGAGACCTTTGTAAGGGCATCCACTACATCTGAATGCATCCCCTAGTCCACACTGCAATGACCATAGAGTTTGGCGTCGATATAGTATTATAAACTTATAACAGCAGCATTTTGGAGTGGACATCTACCACTCAAAATTTAGGTTTCGTTTGAGACGGCTTTATTTCTACTTCTTAAAGCAGCTTCTTAATATAAACATTTAAATTTTTGTACTAGGAAGCTGCTTTAAGAAGCAATAAAAAAGCCGTGGGTTTTGTTTGAGACAACTTTCTTACTGCTTCTTAAGCAGCTTTCTAGTAAAAAAAAGCTTAATTTTTGTGCAAGAAAGCTGTTTTAAGAAGTACTAAGAAATATGTCCCGAATAAAACCTTAATTTGAAACTCTAGGAACGATTTCGATGGACTAGTGAAAACCAAGAACTTACACTGCCACAAGCAGATTGAGGATTATTTATCTGCTCCACAGTTAACCCCAGCTGCACTTTTTGCTCAGCCTCAGCTCTCCCACAAGTGCAATTTTTGCAAGCTTTCCTAGTGCTCCCAACTTCACAGTCACTAACTGCGCACATATAGTAGCCATCAGAATGATAAGTACAAGTATCACAAACCATTAAGAAAAATGTCAATCGAACCAGCTGGTATTTGTGGTTTCTTCAGGTCCTCCTCCGTAAGGAGACTATCTTCATCTATAAGGTCGGATTCCTCATCTATCATAAGCTTGGGAAGAGCCTTTGTTGCTTTCTTGAGAACAAAAGAAGACCCCATTGACCATGAAGCTTTTTTCCCAATAATCTACAAGAGTTTATGATTGATTTCAAGGTGGAGCAGAGGGTTCATCTAGTTTGAAATGTATTTATTAGGAGTGTTAATATTTGACATGACCTGAAAATCTGACTCGAACCCGACCCAAAAATCTTGGGTTAGGGTTAACCCGGATCACGAAATGGGTCGGGTTCGGGTTCAACAATTCAATCTATTTCAAAAATTGGGACGGGTTTGAGTTGACCATTTGACCTGAAATTAACCCAAAAACCCGCTTTTTGACACGAAAAAACGAGATTGAACAATTTTGACCCGAAAAGCGAAGACTAACCCATTTTTTTGATCGAAAAAGTAGCAATTTTTTAATGGTCCTAGGGCATTTGGGTTGTGTCGGGTTGACCCGGACCTGAAGCGGGTCAAGTTCGGGTCCGAAAAACCAACCCGTTTGCAAAAAAACAGGTCAAGTTTGGGTTGACCCGAATAGTGCCAGGTCAGTTTCGGGTTCGACTCGAACCCAAAATTGACACCCCTAAAATTTATCTACAAATAACAGACAAGTATTCAAAAAGCTTACCGTCAGAGAATATGAGCCATCCAAGACCAAGACTGGTTTAGACTCCAACGGCATCACATCGACAAATCCTGCTACGAGTAATTTGCGCTCTAGCGAGGTCTGTTATTCAAACAAAAAAAAATCATTTACGAGCAATTCAAAACAACCAAATAAAGTAATCGACAATAATAATTCACAAGATATATAGAAATAACCTGACTCAAGTGCTCACTGGACTTCAGAGACAACTGAACAACAATCTTTCCACTGGATTTAAGAACTCTATTTATCTCTTCAAGCCACTGCTCATTAACAATATCAGGTATTTGAAGAACGGAGATAATGACATCCAAGGATGCGGACTCAATTGGCAACTTCCCCACTGTAATAACATCACCATCAATTGTGTAACTTCGCATATAAACAGTTTCTCACGCGAGCAAACAATAACAAAATCATATAAGTTTTCAATGATAATAATAATAAAACAGAGAATATCCGCAATATATAGAATCCCATCATCAAACTTGATCCCGGATGACCAAAAAATAAACAGGATTTTCAATCAACAAATCATGCTAAGTTCATGGCGGCAAGAGAGAGACCAATTAAAGAATAAATTAAAATTATAAAAAATAAATTATGAACTCTTTCTAAAAATTATCAATAAAAAGGGTAAAAAGGAGAAATTTCAGAAGCAAACATGCAGGACAAAAAAAACTCACGAAGGGTATTGCATTGGGTGATAACAAGGACGTCATCTTCGGCGACTGGGGCGCTCCCTGAGTTCACGAACGAGGATAGTACCTCCCGTATAGGAACCGCTACAAGATCTGTGAGAAAAAGCGCGCTCGGCTTCCAGCCAATCTTCTCCTGCAACAGAACAGTAGCGTAAGAAATCTCATATTTTCTAGATCGCTCAAAACCCCTCAAGAAACGACCAACATCTGAAGGAATTCTAGCATTCCAGAAATCGTGCAAAAAAAAAGAAGAAATTTGAACATTTCTTGAAACCCTAACATATACAGAAAGGGGAAAAGGAGGCGAATGCATCAGATCTGTATCCTGATATGCCAAAAAAGTACTCACCATTTGAAGCTAGGGAGATGATCGAGCGGCCAAAAGAAACCCTAGGGCCTGTTTGGATGAAGGATTTAGGCGCAAGATTTAAGCTAAATCCTGCCAAATGCCAAAAAATGCAAAGTCAAAATCTCACGGAAAGTCTGTTTAGTTTCGGATTTGAAGCAGGTTTTACGGTAAATCTTGCCAAACCGGAAAAATGGGCATTTAAATCTCAAGGCAAATTAAATCCTCCGTTTTCCCTTTTTTTGGCGGATTTACGGGATTTAGCCGAAGAAGCGCGCGAAAGGGAAAAAGTATGTTACCGTCGCAACAAGCGATCTCCCGTCGTCGTCGAAGGAGGTAAAGAACGTCGTCTAAGGAGGCGAAGAACGTCGTCGAAGAAGGCAAAGGAAGAACGTTGTCTGTCTGTGTAACTTCCGATCCGACTCGTTCGAGGAGAGCTTTCGGAACTCTTACGTGGTGGACAAGGAAAACGATACGAAGAAGAAAAGTAAACCCTGCCTCCTGCCTAAGAAGTGAATAAATAAATAATTATAAAATTAATTAAATAGTATGTAATTAATTTTAAATAATAATAAAAATATTAATTAATGAATTACCAATTTAATTGATTAGTGATAGAATACGTAAATAATTAATTATTTAATTAATAGTCTACTTATTAATTAAAAATGATTTAAATTCTACATAAATAATTAATTAAATTAACTTCTAATTAATATGCAACTAATATTAAAATCTAAATTAAATTTTAAATGCAAATTAAATTTCAAGTATAAATTAAATTTAAATTCTTAACGAACTAATAATCTTAAATCATGGATTATGTTGCTAAATAATTTCATAGAATTTAATACTTATATTGCCAAATAATTATTGTGAATTTTACACAAGATTTATTAAATCCTACTTGTTGCCCAACAACCCCAAAGCCTCACTTCATGGCATTTTTTTACATTTTTGTCGTAAATCCTATATTTCTTAAACCCAATTTTTTGCAGATTTTTTAATTTAGCGAAAGAATTGCACGAAATTGGAGAAATATATTACCATTGCGGTGAGCTCTTGTAGTGACATTCGATTCCACAAGAACAACGTCGGAGGAGGAGGCGTAGAAGCTTTAAATCTTTTAGAACTCTACTCATGTGAAACATGGTAACAATGAATAAGTGCACAAGAGCAAAAGAAAAATCTAAAAGGGCAATGGAAAGCGACTTATTCAAAGCTTTACCTCACGTGAACCAACAAAGCCGGAGAGGGAAGTTCTAACTCCCATGAAAAGCAACGAAGATATTGATAAGAGGAAAAACTAATCAGCATATATGGATTAGATTTGATGTCACCAAAAAACGTCTTGATCAGGCACGGATTTTGATACAAATCAAAATTAAAAACTTCCAAAATTAATTTCGAGACCATACAAACTATGATTTCAACATAGTAATAGTCAATTTGAGCATCTCAATAAGACAAATCCAATGACACCAAATTTTGTCCAATCCTTGCTTGAAAAGAATCGAAATCAAAAGAACGAAAGATTCAAAGCATTAATTTGATAACCAAATGACATCCTAATATGACATGCTTATAGTCGAATCAAGAAACTTAACAAGAAGAATCCAACGAATCCAAGATCATTTAAGTATGATATCATTAAGACATATAAATGCTTAAAGAGTACTGCATGAACAAGGGAATTGATATCATCCGTCTGATGGAACACTCCAAATTTATCCCAGATCTCCTTCATATTTATTAAGCATGTCACTCCCAAAAGGTATAAATAGATCTTCATTCTTCACGTGAGGGATAAGAAGAGAAATCTAACTGGTTCTCTAGCACTATCTAGCCAGCATTGACGTCGTGAAATTCTTTTACAACCACCAATCGTCGTCAGACTTTTGTCAATTCATTGAGTATTGCTCGAACTCCTCTTGGATGCAGCTGCTACTGAATTTCTTCCCAACCAGTGACCGTCACATGCTGACTATAGTCCCTCCAACCACCTTTACCGGACTACGATCATACCGACCTCCATTCCTCGGTAATTATAATTCCTATAATAATCCAAAAATACAAAAAGTTAAAAAAAAAAAATTGTTTGAGGTGGAGTATAATAACACTGTGCTTAGGAATGTTGTGATGCTAAATGAGAGCACATTGGCACTAAAAACTGTCGTTGCAACATTTGAGTCTCTATTATACAGTATTTGTGGATTCGACATGCAGCGCTACAATGCTAGGCTATTATTAACATTTTAATATAGTTTATTATTAATATCCTTTCCAACTCTCCCACTACCTCATTTGTCGAGACTTGTCGTGCAAGGACGAGAGGCGAGGAGGAGAGGAATGAAGAGAGAGGGATGAGAGAGAAAGGCATTCGAGGCATTTTCATTCATCAATTCTACTTAAAGATTTCTCTTGATCGTCGTAAATAACCCAAATATAATGTTAGTTTTCAATAACTTTGAGTTTGATGGATTTATTCTCTTGTAAATCTATAAAAATGTATTTTCTCCTCATTTATTATATTTTTATAATATAATTTTTTTATATGATAAATATGAATATTATGAACATTTTAACAATAATATTATCAATTTTTACTGAATAAAATAAGAATTGTTATTTTATGAAGCTATAGACTGATATATAAATTTTCCCGTTTTTTATAGAATTGAGCATTTCTTGTTTCATTTCATGCATTAAACTTATTTCATGAAAGCAATAAATGCTAGCTATTAATACTACAATTAATTCGGATTAGTTGTTAAAACAAAATATTCCAAACACAATGTGAGTCGACGGGCTTTTCCTTAACGATGGTTTGTAGTGTTATCCCGATTATATCCTATAACTGATAATCGATTACGTCGATGGACAAAGTGTAATGCCCTAGACTATAGTTTGTAAGAATTATTTTTTTATCTTTTTATTTATACAACTAAAATTGTCTATTTTTTTACCAGTCTAAATATCAACATAAAAAAAATATCGATCAAAACATCAATATATATATATATATATATATATATATATATATAGCTCCAAAAATGTATACAATACTCACTGAGTCATATAAATACAATAATAAATTTTCTCACTTGTGAGTATAAAAGAAAAACTAAAATACAAAAGAAACAAAATAATAATAAAACCCGGTGAATCATTTAATTGATTAGTCTCACACTCCTGATCTTCTTTCTATATTTGAAATCATTTAAATCACATAAAATTAGATTAAAAAAAAAAGCTCAGCAAGTCACTAGAATCCTATAACTAAACTCACAACA